GTTTCATCAGCTTCACATTCATCAGGCAGAGCAGTTTAGGTCACATCTACTTGGTGTAAAAGCATTGCAATAAAAGTGGCTTAAGCTGGTAACAACTGCACAACACACATACAACTGCTGCCCAAGCATTTTGCAAGCATCAATTATATCAGTTGGATGGAAAGCCGGGGAAGAGGGGTTTTTTGCTTTTTCTAGCATCTATTTCTGTGAGATAGATGAACTCTTGTTTTTGCTTCCTACCATGCCTGCTCTGGGAAAACTTCTGCTAGAGCTGAAAACTGGCCTGAGACCAATATGAGAGCCCAGCATGGGATATGGAATGATGAGGTGTTCCAGGTGGAGCTCACCTACCTGATCCACAAGCGGCAGGTCTCCAGCAAGGTGTCACAGAGTTTGGCGAATTGGGAATTGGGTGTAGTGCTAACCAGTGCTGAGACAACATCAAGAGGCTGTAGGACCAATATAATAAAAGAGCATTGTCAGGGCTGCTTGAGTCACTGGCACCTCCATCTTGGGCCCTTCTATGCAGAGCCTGTCTCCATCCAGGCAATCATTCCAGGTTGTTGGCACTTGGGTGGGGTAAGGATGGGGCTGATGAAAATTGCCAAGAATCAGGAGGAGAGTGTCCTGGAGTCCAAGGGCCAGCTGACAGAGGAGTATGACTGAAATGAAGATGAACTATCACAAGATGAGAGGACATTGACATAACTAACTGTCTTCAGACTAAGCTTTTTAGGACAGATACTGTCATTTACTCTATGTATATACAGTGCCTGAGACAATGGGTACCTAGCCTGTCTGAGGCCTCTAGGTGCTACTATAATAATTATGATTAATAATAATAGACACACTGTGTGTTCTATTTGATGTCATTGTGCCTTATTGCCTTTTTCATTTGTTTGTCCTTGAGGGAAGAAGAATCCCAGAACTAACAATACCAATACCATCAATGTAGTACTGAGATGTTTCTTCAAAGAGCTAGTAATAGGCATCCATCTTCATTTGGAAATTTATCAGCCACTCACCATCACCCCATCCAGCTATCATCCCAACATAAAATAGAGGCCTCATCCAGAATCCACTCAGGAAACATTCATGGATTGAAAGAAGGCAAGGTCGGTGTTCAATGCCTGCCTGCTGCACCAGTAGATTATCTTACAGCTGATCCTGGGACGTTGTGCTAAGGGGAGTTATAAGCACTGTGCCCATTAACTAAATTCTTAGGAGCTCTTATCTGTTCCTGAATTCTGCCTGTAATGCTTTCCAACCTTTAGCAGCAATGCAACTAGTCAGGGGAAGCAGTGTCAAGAATGGTCACTTCTGCTCCAGAGTACGGTCTATGCTGGTGCTCATGTTGTTGGTGACACTGACTGCACCTGAGAATTCTGGGGTATTAACAAACAAGTCTGATATCCTTTAACTCCCAGAATGTTTCACGATGTGGAAATTCTTCTCTCTTATCCCAAGACTACTTATTTTGCTTAAGAGCCTTTGGTGAGGGTCCCTGTCAAAGGCTTTCTGAAAGTCCAAGTACACCTATGGAACTCGTTGCCAGGGGATGTTGTGAAGGGCAGATGAACCCCATGCTCTGGGTGTCCCTAATCCTCTGAGTTCCAGAAGCTGGGACTGGATTGACTAGGGATAGATCATTCAATAATTGCCCCGTTCTGTTCATTCCCTCAGAAGCATCTGGCACTGGCCACTGTCAGAAGACAGGATACTGGGTTAGATGGACCATTTGTCTGACTCGTTGTGGCCATTCTTATGTTCTTATCTAGTGCAGAGAAGGCCAGAGTGTTTGGAATGAAGCACAATAATGTGTAATTCCAGAAAATATAAAAGGAACTTGTGATAATTTGTCACTTAAATGTTGCCACAATGATTTCTGTTGCACAGTAAATTTGTTCTGTTTTAGAGGGTATCTTTAGGACAAATAGATTTAACAGGTTTGCAAGGTCTATTTTTGCAGAAGAATGTGGTCATGGAGGCAGCAACTACCTTTCAATCTAATGCTATAAACTGTCAGCTTTTGCAAAAAAAACAAGATTGTGCAGGGTCTGCACTATGAACTCACTACTCTAGCAGTTGCGCGATCCCCTCTAATCCTCTCTTTGCACTTCCAGGCTAATACAAGGCTTTTTCTCACCTCCTTTCCACAGTAATATCCACGTCCATTTGTTTTTATGTTTTTTTCTCTGTTTGTTGTTTAAAATCTCTATTATTTAGCACTTTTACTGCTGGTCGCATAGATAATCAAGCATGTAAACACATTGACTTTCTATTATTTGGAAGACAATGGTCTACCTCCTCCTTCCCCTCCCCAGTCAGAATGATGAGTGATCCTATTATTTAGTGCAACATATTATCTTGTCCGATATGCTGGATTCAGTTTAGCACATTTATTAGCTTATGCCACTATATTTAATTAAATTCAATAAATTACTTTCTATTGCATTTAAGTTGCTATGCTGCATAGTGCATTGTTTTTATTTCTACCAGATATAATGTTAATTTCTGCATGATATACTGTTAGCTCCAGCGCATGATTCAGAATATATTCTAACCCCTCAGCTGTTCGCTTATTGTCTGCACTCATCAGAATCTGCAGTAAGGCCAATCCTATATCATTATAATGCTTCCTTGGGAATTTCTCTTTGGCTGGAGGAGCTCAGTAAAGGAATTAGTTGCAAATAAAAGACCATGAGCTACCGTTGCATGCAACATATCTTTTTAGAGATGTCTGTCTTCGTCATTGCAAGCTCTCAATAACGATGTAATGATCTTTGTCAAATGTAGATCCAGTTACTGCCAGCAACAGAAGGCATATGTCCAGGCTGAACAAAAGAGCACTTATTTTCATATCCCACTGATGATATTGCATGATTAAATTTTTGCATAATCTTAAAAAATTATTATGCAGATGTTGTGCAAATGACAGAAAATACTATTACAAAGATGTTTTGTGGAGGGAATTTAAATTTTGTGCATACATCCCTGTTTTAATATGCCTGTCAAATACTGGATAATAACCCTTTCCATGTTAATACATGGACAGAAACAAGACTCTTTGTTGTTTCTTGTTTACAGCTTTACATATTTTACCATTTTTTGATTTATAATCTCCTATCTCAGCAAAGCTAAGCAGCAATGCCTGATTGTTTGGTTACAGTTTTCACTGGATAAATTAACTTCTACATCATTGTTTAAGAGGTCACAAGCTGCTTAATAGGAGTCCATGACAGAAACTGGTGGGGGAAGGGGAGCCACTACAAGAGTGAGGAAAAGTGAAAAGGCACACAAGGAAGTGAATAATAATGATAATTTTAGTTTCCTCTTGACTGAAAAGTTGTTTTAGAAAAATTGAGTTGTGCAACTTACTATAGGCTTACTGTCCTGACTTTATAGGGAGAAAGTTAGGTAGCACATGTCTGAAAATATAGGATATATAGAAATTGAACAACAACTGCATAGTTATATTAAGGGACAATATTTCTTAATTTCCTCCTTAATTCTTTCCCACCACATATCAACTTATACATTCCATCGGCATACCTCAAGCCCTCTCCCTCCTGCTTCTGGGCCTCCAAACCCAGACAGAGACACCTTGAGAACTTTTCAGGGAGCTGGCTGCAACCTTCTCCTCTTACACCAGTAGAAAACTTTCTGAGGAAACATCACTGGTTGACACCAGTTGGCCAACACCAGGTCAACACCAGGTCACCAAATAGCTCTTTTCTTCAGCTGAACTTCTTTGGAATTAAATACATAGGGTTCCCTACCACCACCACCAGTTCAAAGTGCTCCAGATAGATTATTTGGGATATACTCCTGGTTACTTGTGGCTAGCAGGTACAGGATATCTCCTGCTCTACTCATTAGTAATCAATATTAGAGTGGTGTGAATAATTTGACTAGAATGACAACTCCCATAAAATGAAGGTAGGTTTGTGTGTTCTAGATCTCTCCAGGAATAATAAACCCAGTTCCGTAAACATTTAGGTAATAGGCTTGATAACATTTGCAGAACCATAGATCTACACCCTCCAATCACATCTCAGTAAACAGAGCAACTCAGCCAACCTCCTCTATTCATTACAACTAGGGCCCATAAGTGCCCCTCTCTCATTAAGCCAACCATCAGCTTCCTCCCTCACTGCATTACTGGACTCCCTCAGACAGTAACACCACAGCCATGTCCCTCCACTTAGGACCAGGGAGCCCACTCCAACCTCAGTATTGTTGTCCTGGGAGTTGAAGGTGGCTAGTATATGGGGTCCTCTCCCTGGAGTCTCCACTCTCTATCTCATCTCTTGAGGGCTATGAGGTAGGGCAATTCCCTGTCCAAGAAAGAACAAAATCATTTCTTGCCACTTTGCTTAGAGTTTTGAATTCGAAATCTGAAGCTTCAAAAGAAACTCCTCTCCCCTCTTCTGGAACCCTCTACCCATCAGCTGTGCTGCTACTCCTAAATCTCATTCCCTCTCCACTCAGTTTTACCAGGAAATGGCTCTTTGTTAAAGCTTGCAGGTGATCTTAGAAGATTCCAGAGCGCTAGTCACTGCTAGTCTTGCACATTTTTAAAGAAAGTTTGAGAATTGCCCAGGGTGGCAGCACTTTTTTCATTTTCTTTCTGCTTTCTCCCAGACAGGAGGTTGCTGCTGGTTACCTCATCTCTCCATGAAACTTCTACCTCTCACATCCTCCATCTTTTTCCTATTTGAAAAAGAAAAACTCACTTTTTATTACCACCATTCTCAGCTCCAGTGCTCTGGCCAAAGAAAGGGGGACAAGGGGTGCCACATACCACTGTGTTGTTCATATCTCCCTGGTTGTACTCACTAAAATATATATTCTAAAACTTCAGTGTTCCAGTATGTTGGGTTTATGTAATTAAGAGCCCAAATATGACACATTCAAGTCACTTGTAAGCATATCTTTTAAAAATGTCTTTAATAACTATTTATCTTTCAATGTACAGCACAATATGATTTCTTTCACAGTGGGCATTGAAGTTGACAATGAAGAAGGCAGCGCAGCTGAGAGCGAAGATGACGACAGCAAAATAGGTAATCGGTGATGGACAATTTCAATTCTACATTCAGACAGTTTCTTGTTGCAGTGCATGACACGAGATAATGCAGTTCCGGTTTGGCTGTTTTTAGTGAAGAGACTCAGGCTGGATTTAAACTAATCAGCTGAAGTGAAGAGCTCTATAGCCTACTACCATTCTTTTGAGACATCCTGATCCCACAGTTCATGAATTACTATAATCATGTACTACACTCTGAATTTCATGTTTAAACTAATATATTTGGAAAATAACTCCAGTGGTTGAAAGGCAGCAGGGAAGTCTATCATATAATGAACTTGGTGATAATGTAATGAACTTGGTATCTTAACCTGTCAGAGGTATAGGAGTGTGGTGAGCTGAAATGATAGAATCATAGAAATGTAGGGCTGGAAGGACTTTGAGTGGTTATCCAGTCCACCCCCTGCATCAAGACAGGACCAAGTATACCTAGGACTTCCTTGACAAGTGTTTGTCTAATCTGTTCTTAAAAATCTCAATGACAGCGATTCCAAAATTTCCCTGGAAGGCTAGTCCAGAATTTCCTGGGAAATTTTGGCATCACTGTCATAGCTTAACTATCCTTATAGTTAAAAAGTTTTTTTCGAAATATGTAACCTAAATCTTCCGTGTTGCAGATTAAGCAGATTACTTCTTCAGTGGACATGGAGAAAATTGATCAATGTCCTCTTTATAACAGCCCTTAACGTATCTGAAAATTTATGAGATCCTGTGCTGGGGAACAGAGGGTTCAGGTCTGCTCCCAGCAGCACCACCTGCTGGTGGTACTCTGGGATATGTCTCCCAGCAGTGAGAGTCAGTGGCCACTTTGCCCTGGTGAGAGTCATGGCCACGTCGCCCATTGGCAAGAGTCAATGGCTGGGATTAGGGAAATCTGGGACCTCCCTGCTCCACCGGGTTCCACCCCAGGGCCCAATGAAGCAGTAATTTAAAAATGTGCGACCTAAGGGGCAGGCCCCCCTACATCTGCTCCCTGGGCCACTTCCTACCCCAGCTTCTGTTCCTCTATTGGTGGCACTGGTTTGCTTGTGGGTCCCTTCTGAAGCTCTCACTGTCCATGCTCCAAAGGGTCTTGCTCTTACAGCCACGACTCATCGTTGCCAATCTCCGCAATTGATAGGTTTGTGGCGGCTTGGCGTTGAGAACTGGGCCTTACCGCCTGAAGCCTCAGTGGCTTCTTGGCAGGAGCCTGCAACTGTCCACCCAGACTGAGCTAAACTGTTCCCTTTTGAGCTTAGCCTCCGCTGTGAGCACACCAACAGGGGCAGCTGGGCGGGGCTTTCTGGGACCAGAGCTGCTCCTTAATCCTTACTTCACCAGTGTAGGTTCATATACCGCATCACATTCCCCACTCAATAGTTTTTTTTTCCTCAAGAATAAACATGCCCAGTTTTTTTAATCTTTCATCATAGGTCATTTGGTTATGTCACGTGCAGCTACAGTATATCATACTGATAACATAAATTCTGTATGTGTGTGTATGAGAGAGAATTGCTAGTACTGATACACAATATTAACTTTTTGTTTTTGTCTGTCCCTCCCACCCCCCATCATGATTGTGAAGATGAAGAAGAATCTGAAAAAGAGAAGAAAGTAACTGCCAAAACCAGAAGAGGAAATGCCAGAGGGAGAGCCAGAAAGGATTCGGAGGAGGAAGAGGAGACGAGGACAGCTGGGCAACGCAGACAGAGAAACAGGAGAGCACAGAGGAAACAGGCTGGGAATGAGGACAGTGATTCTGATGAGGAATCCTGCAAAAACAAGAAGAACAGGGCAAATCAGATATCCAAGCAGCAGGAGCCCAATGAGGATGGAGAAGATGACAATAAAGGGGGCAGAAAAGGAAGAGGCAAAAATGAGACCAAACAGGAAAAAAAACCTGATGAGAAAGGGAAAAAGGAGAAGGACAACAAGAAAAAGAAGGATAAAAAGAAGAAAGGTTCCTCAAGGTAATTATTTATGTAATCTGAAATCTATTGAATTTATGGCTATAGTTATAGTACCCCAGTCAGCACAACTCCCTTAGCTATAAGGGCCAGTTTTTCAGAAAAGATCAAGGCCAGAGTTTCAGGGACTCAGGACCCACAATTGAGGCCAGATTTTCAAAAGAGCTCAGTTCCCACAGCACCCATTGTGACACTTACAGCCAGATTTCCAAGAGCCCATCGCAAGGTATGCTGAGTTATTTTGCAAACCAGTCTACTTATTTAGGTGCTTAAATGGAATCTGAACTCTTTTGAAAATTGAGCACCCAGTATGGGTGCTGAGGCCTTCTGAAAATTCCAACCTTTGTGTTGTTCTGCGAGCAGCCTTGATGCTCTCATTCTTCCACCTTCTCTCTCCACCACCTCATGCTTTGTGTTTTTGAATCACATTCTTTGAAAGGAATCACCCTCTGGGAAGAGTGCATCATGGAGCAGATGTAGATAGATACATTTACATAGCTGGGAGAGATATTCCACTTCCCTCATTTTTACATTCACTATAGGTGTCGGTGCCCCCAGAGACACCCCAGAAGAACACAGCAGGAATCATCAAAGGAAAGGAACCCATAATGTGAGACATGTTGTCTTGACTCTCATATTAATTTGTCCCTGAACACATTTCAATACGCTGCTACTCCATTTCCCCCACTTTTTAGCATTCCTAGAATTTGTCTTTGTTCCAGCTCTTCACTATGAAATCCATTATAGCATTATCCTTCCTTTATGTGATTTCCTGCACTCAAGTATATTTTACTAAAATCGTATTCCTGACTGTGCCAGTTGATATTCTTCCACGTATTATTCTTGTCGTCTATTGTGAACATTAAATAGTTATGTTAATAAAAAAAGACCCACGGAAAAATGTAAAATTGAATGAAAACAGAACTTTTTGGACTGGATGATAAATTTCAGTAGAGGAGGATATATTCATTTAGGCTAATTAATTAGAAACATTATACAGGCTAGGACATTGCTCATGGGGATAGCAAGGATAACATTTGAGGAATAACTAAAGATAGTTATCTATTCCTGGAGGTACATCAAGAACATTGTCTCCTTAGACAGTAAGTGGGACAACTAACAAGATCACTTTTCCAACAAGCTATTGTAAATAAGGTATGAGCTCTGAGACACCAAGAGTAGAGGGGCTGTCCTTTCATCTGATAGCAGAAACTTATGAGGTATGTCACAAAATGACATTTTAAAGATTTTTAAAAAGTAATTGTAAGAAAGTTGAAATGAGCTAAGGGAAGTTTTTTAAATCACTTATTGTTTAGACAATTCCTTACAACAACAACAAAGGGTGTTTAAAGGGTGTTTATTTTGATAGGCGAACACAAATAATGTACAAACAAAGAATGATGTGCTGATGATCAGTTTGGCTGATAGAGCATTTGCAAACCTTGGGGCAGGAGGAGAGGCCGGAAGGTATGACCTCTTTAGTATGTCCATGTGGGTTCATCACAACAAAGGCTATCTACTGCAATGGTCCCCAAACTGTGGGGTGTGCCCCTGCTAAGGGCACAGAGGAACATTGGGGGGGGGGGGAGGACTTGGGCCAGCCCGTATGGTGGGTGGAGAGGGAACACCACCCAGTTCTGCTCTGTCCTCCCAGCTCTGCTTCAGCCCTGCCCCTAGTCGCAGCTCTGGCCTCGGCCTCGGCCACCAGCTCCTGGCCCTGCTCCCGACCATGGCTCTGCTCCTTGCTGCAGCCCTGCTTCTGGCCACAGCCCCTGGCCCCAACTGCAGCCCTGCTCCTGGCCTTGGTTCCAGATCGCGGCTCCCAGGGAGGCACGGATCAGGGAAGGGGGGGAGTGACCAAAAAAATGTGGGGACCACCAACCTACTGATTTAAAAGTGATGCACTGCTTCTGGCTTTCAGGCAGAGTGGATAAACATGCTGAAAGAAAATAAGATGTTAGGAATGAAAAAATAAACAAGGAAAAGAAAAACCTAATGAGGAACCTTGGAGCATCCACTGCTAACTTTTTGCCATGTTGTGCAATTTTTTGTTTTCCCTGTCTATATTCTGTTCATGATAGAGACCTTTCACCTCAAGATTACCTAGATTCCTTAGCAGCCTCCTGTGAAGGACCTTGTCAAGGTCTTTTTGAAAGCTCTGAAAGTCTTTCATCTGAGCTTGTTCATTATTATAGGGCCAGATTGTGATACTCTTATACTGAATAGCACTTTATGAGTAGTCCCACTGATTTCACTAAGCAGCATTTAAACTGGTTGTAAATAAAGATAGAATTCAGATCTGTTGGTTCCAAAAGCAGAGACCTTATACTTGAGCTAAAGGAAAATTCTGACAATTTTGGACCCAAATTATATTTTTTAAAATGCAATTTAATTGAAATCAAACTGTTTCACAAAACAGTTTGATTTCAATTAAATTTTTGATATTTTTTATGAAAAAATTCCAAATAGAAGAGATGAAAAAAATTGGTTGGCTTTATTTTGAATTTTGTTTAAAAAAATCATTTTTTGTTTTTGAGGAAATAAATTCTTTTTTAACCAGTGCTAGGTCTGACATTACATCATATAAGGAGCAGTGGGACAAATAAAAGCTTTAATATATATTTTATTCTGCCTTGTTTGCAGTGTCTCTTTCATTTTGTACAGCATCCTTTCCTTACTGGCTCCACAGTATCACAATTTATTTCTCATACTCCCACACACATTCCTCTTGGAACTAGCTACAACACAACACATAGATTCCCCAGTGTCAAAGGGAACCCTCCTCAGCTGTCTTGGTAAGAAAGGTTTCTGGCTGCTTTGTGCTGCCTCAGCTGGAACAGGGGCAAAGGATTTAGCCCCTTTATCATAAATAGTATAATATTCAATTCCTTGTCAGTCCTTTTGTTGTTTTTCGTTTTTTAAAGAGTACTCCCTTGCATTAGGATTCAAGTGCCTCATCATGATATCCATGAGACATCTTACTTTTGATTTTCAGTACATTGGCCTAGGTCTTTATATAGCTCTTCTACTTGCTCATCTCAACACCAAATAATAAATATGTCTGATTGGCTTTCAGCAAGGCTCTTTCTTTCTGCAGAGGTTTGTTTTCAGCAGTGGGATTTTTTTGTGACACATTCTTGCTGAAATGTTATGGATGATGAGTTCAAGTTCTTTAACATTCAGCTCTCTTTAGTATGTAGCATTTGATTCTTTAGTAATTGTAGGATCCTGTTTTTTTTTTCCGACTCAGTCTAATGCGCCTCTTACAGTCATCTCAAATGCTGTTTTTATATTCTTCCCACATAGCATTTGTTACCAAAGCTAGAGCTGGGTGAAGAGTGAAAAAAATATATGTTTTGATGTTTTCTAAAAAGAATTTCACTTTGACTGTGTTAGTGTAACTTTTTAATAGCTTTTCATGAACATTCATGCTGGCAAATGTTTTGGTGCAAGTATTAATAGAAAGCATCTTTTAGGTCAATAACTGAGGTCTGGTTAGTCACATAAATCATTGCATTAGCAAATGGAATTTGTTTTGAAGGTAATTCAAAGAAGTTTATAAATCCTTGATTATCCAGTCAGGGAACAGAAACCACATTATGTGACTTAATCACACAGCTCAAATATCAGATCATACATATCAAGCATTCAAAGATGTAATGGCAGGAAGCAATTTGCAAACAGTCCATAGGCTAAACTTCGAATGAACAAATCATTCCTAAAACTAATTCAAATAGCAAACAATTTCCTAAAGGCTTCAGTCCATTCACAGAACATTCAGAACAGGAAAAAGAGCTAAATTCACTGGATACATTTTTTGTAAATTCCTTTGGTTGTCATCCTCAGCACTGATTTGTTCACTGAGTTCAACAATTTTTAACCATTTCCCCCCATGCCGCTGCTGCAAAAAATGTTTTCTGTCATATTGATGGTTATCTGTTTGTAGTCATATAAGGAAGAGCAGTAGGTAGTTATTGTCACAGTTCAGGGCAATTGCACCTGTATTTCCCTCTCATGATACTTCAAGGGCACCACTCTAGGCTCCCAGCTCCTCAGTAGTCACCTCTCTGGGGCAGAGACAAATGTCTCTCTTCCCACTCTTGACCAGGGTTTTTCCAGGCTGCACAGTTTCCTGCCTTCACTGTGATATCCGCAGCAAGCCAGACTACCTAAACAGGCCAGCACCTGCACTTTACTTTCTCTTCAAAGGCTATGGACACTTGTAACTGCCTGCAGTTATATGTTAACACACAGGTTTTTATAAGCACACATATTTATTCTTAAGGTGAAAGCATTACAGAGAAAAATATATTAAAAACAATTAAAAAAATTACATACATGCCAATAGCTTACCTCAGAGATCACCCCCCCTACTCCAACAAGAACTCTGATAGGAATCACCCCTTCCAACCTTCTAGAAGGATTGGGGCCACCCTTGGACAGAAGGTTCTGTCCATTTGCTGGATCAGAAAGAGTATGTTTAAACTCAGGCTATTTATCCAAAAGTCCATTCTTTGTCTGTTGGTCTCTAGACAATCTAGTATGAACTAGTATATGCGAGCTATCCCAGGAGGTGGTATCTCTCTGTGGGGTAGGGGAGTTAGTTTTCTGGCTGATTTGCCTTAATCACCACCCACTGTTTTTTGTTCCTGGCAGAGCTGTGGTAGCCCTTCCTTTTGGAGTAGAGCATAATCATATTATCAACCATGCAGTTAAAACAATGGACCCCAAAGTTGGGTGCAATATTTGTCACATCTCCATAGAAAAGATGCATACAATCCTGGCCCATAATAATACATAAGCTTAATACCAAAAGGTCTTTCAATGATATTTCAGGAAATTGCCATATCTGTCACAACTATCTTTAGCCATGTTATCCAGTCATGTAGTGGAAAGAATATTACTCAACCCAGTCCCATATCCAGAACATTCTGAGCTACCCACTAACAGCATAGTATCAGCCTAGCTTTACTGTGATAGTGTATCTGGATTTCTATATAATTGGAGATGGCCCACTGCAATGATGTTGTCATACTCATTGGGTTTAGGCTAGGGTTTAAATTTGTTTGATTCAGGGCTAGGTTAGGGGTTTGATAGTGCTGAAATCTCATGACATTTTGCCCCTAAATAGCAGAAGACACGTGAAATTAGCCGATCTTGTGAGAGTTCTGAGATATGTAAATTTGCAAAATCAATTTTTCATGAAAAATTTCCACACTCTCATGTGAACTGGTGTTGTCACAAGATTTTGGCCATGTATAAACTGGACCCAGAAATTAAGCCGCTTTGGAACCAAAGCCATAGGGTGGGGCTGAAATCCAGAGATTAGAACACAACACTCCCTCCCCCCAAATGTAAAGTGGTTCAGATCCAAGATTCCAGTTTTAGCCCCTCTCTGTATAAAGCACGCATAATTTAAAATGCCATAGGCTCTGCCTTTTTGTATTAATAAGAAGATGGATGATGGTCATTATTGCAATTTAAAGATCAGATTATGACTAGCCCTGTTCAGGTGTCGGGGAAGAGAGAGTGAGGGTATGGCTCTTCCTACTCCAAACTAGCCAATAGCGATGAGCCTTCACAGTGGGGAAATGGCTCTCTCAAAACTGCAGTTTGAAAAAACAACTCCCTCCTCTCGGTTTAAACACTCTTTTAAAAAGAACGTATACAATGTTCCGAGTTGGGTTTCCTTACATGAACCTTTGCATCTAACAGATTGGATTACCCTTGAGGAGCAGATCTCTTGCTCTCTCAAGGCCTGATCCACAGCCCATTGAAGTCAATGGAAAAATCGCTGTCTCTGTCATAGTCCAGCTCAGTTTCAGTACTTCAAGCTCCAAATACTTCATTTCGGGTTCAGGGGTTAAGGAAATTCAAGTTCAGAGTTATAGCGGCAAGACACAGATCTAGAGGATCAAGTTAAGGAGTTAGCACCGAACATCTGCCTCAGTGAAACCTTCTATTACCCTCACGTTTTTAAACTTACTGTATTTATCCCTCCATTTTTGTTTGAAGCTCTGACTCCGACTCTGAAGAGGAGCCAATTACGGAGGAGGAATTGGCCAAGCTGAAGGAAGAGGTAGAAGAGAAAAAGAAACTAATTGCCACATTACGAAACAAACCATGGCAGATGAAAAAGAAACTAGACGTCCTGAAGTATGGTCTGATTCATAATGAATAACGCTGTCACTTGTAGTGTTTGTACTGTATACTCTCCTTGTTTTTCTCAATTTTATCTTTATTTCTATATCTGTTGAACTTCAAGCAGTCCCAGAGATCAGGCTCCTTTTTTCTTTGAAAGCCCATCCTTGGGACTTAAGTGGCGTGTGTGTCAATGCTCCTTCACCTCCTTAGCTCTTGGGTGAAAATATGAAGGAGTCAGATCTGTTTGGTAGGATTCCATTACTCACACTGATCCGACCTTTCTGATCATGATAGTTTTCCATCAATTAGAAAGGTCACTATCTTTGGAGCTGTCTTGAATGCCATCTGATCGCTTGGGTGCTGTAATTTTAGTATATATTTCAACATTCGTGGAAAATTCTCTGTCTCTTAAATTGCAAGGGAAATGAATGAAAATTTAATTGAATTTGGGAAAAAGAAAATATTGGGAACATTTTATGCATTTTCTTGTACGTTGTAGGCACAAATTGCCTTTGGCCTTAGTGAATGTCACACTTCCATTTTCACCAAAGCAAAAAGGTTGTTTTCATTAGCAAATAAGTCTCCAGTGGAAACGAATGCTTACAATCAAAACAGATGAGACGGACACAGGGTGGGGGAAAGGATGTAACACACAAGCAGAGTGAACAATGTGATGGCAGCAAATGTCATGTTAGTTCCACTATTTATTTATTTTTTGCTGGGGAGGAGGGGTAGTTAGTTAAGAGGGGATCAGCTAAATGGAAAGAAAAGTGGAGAGGGGACATTGAAGGGAAGGGGGTGAGAATTGACAGGATAGAGAAGAAGGTGGTAAGGGGGCAGGAAAAGTGACTGTGAGGGAGGGCCAGGATTGGAGCAAACAGCCAATTGTCACAGGCCAGAGAAAGTGCAGTCAAAACTATACAAAGTTCTTAGAATGTCCAAACATCCCTACTTTGATTGCTTCTAGAGTCTCCGGCTGGTTGTTCCGCTTTGTAGTTTTCTCCAAGGCCACATGGTGAGGGGAAGAGATAGGTGGCACCACCTGGGCTCTAGTGCCCTCAGAGTAGTGGGGGCCTGCCCTGGATAGTTCTAGAAGTTCAAAGGAGGCTGAGGTGGCCCCAGCTGGGCCCCATTTTCTCCTCTCCCCTCAATGAAGCAGCCCCTGCTTTGGCTACTTAGTTTGCTTAGCAGAAATTTATATAGTTCCACTCAGAGCCCTCAGGGTATATAGTTTTGTTTCCATGCCCACTTGAGTCTGTTTAACTGAGATAGGCCTGGACCTCAGGTATTTTCTCTTGAAACAATCTGAAAAATTCATCTGAAAAAGCTAGAATGTTTATGCCTTGGCTAAACTAGCAAAACACACAAAATACTGATCTTTCTGTCGGAAGCAATTTGGCCTGGTTGAGTTAAGTGACATTTTGCAATCCAGAAGTCAATGTAATTATGAATGAAATGAAATGAACAATCTGCTTCCCCAGGAAACTGTGCAGTGTGCTTTTGTAACCTGGTTTCCTCTGTGCCTGCCAGCCTTCCCTCTCCCTGTGCCCTCACTGACTGCTGGTAGCATTCTGCCAGTATCTTCCAGGAACGGGCTTTTGGTTCCATGCTTTTGACTAAGGGCTCCAGGCAGGTACTTCTGTACCCATATAGGTTCCTCTGAATCTTGCGATTCATTTTTCTTCTTTTGGGAATCACCAGCAAAGCTACACCAAGTGTCCAGTACTTCCAAATTATCTTAAGTAAAGAATATTTTGGTCTATAAGTACCTACTACATGGGGAACAGAAATTTGATAACAGGGATTTTCAATCTAGCAGAAAAAGATATAAGAAGATCTAATGGCTGGAAGTTGAAACTAGACAAATTCAGACTAGAAATAAGGCACATATTCTAACAATGAAGGTAATTAACCATTGGAGCTACTTACCAAGGGTTGCGGTGGATTCTCCATCACTGGGAGACTGGAAATGTATTAAATTTCATTTTCTCATATCAAAAGGTTTATGTGAATACACAAATATGTACCAATGTGTTTTCTTGTGTCTTTCCAAAACAATGGTTTCTTTTGTGCTGTGCTAAACACACAGCTCTCTTTGAAGTAGGCTTAGGAGCATTTTAATGGCTGACCCCAGAAAATATCAGAGTTCCAAGTGGAAATGACAGATCTTCAGATCAGTTCTTTATACTGAAATCTATTTTTGTAAACCAATGAATCACATTTGTTACCATCTAGCTACATCAAATACATTCCAAAAATAGGTACAATTTATACCAGGCAATCCTATTTTAGATTGTCACTGTTATGTATAGAGATTCATATCTCAGCTCAGCAGAGAAAAAACAAACAAAAATTAGAACTTAAAAGCTAATAACCAGGCCACATTTTCAAATGAAGGTGCCTAAATTTAGGCATCTAAATCTATATTTGGCCCCCTTATGTAAGTGTCTTGATTTCACTGAAATCAATGGAGTAGTGAGTGCTCAGCACCTCTGAAAATGAAGCCAGTTATTTTGGTATCAAAATATGGACCTACTGTAAAATTTTCCAAAGTGTATAAATCCCATTTTCAAAAGTGACTTAGGCACTTTGAAGACCAAGTCCCGTTAACTTTTAATACAAGCCTTAGACCTTGTTTACTCACAGTTTTTGCACTGCTTTAACTATGTCACTTTAGAAACCAAAATATTTTTGGACACATTTATGTTGATGTGAAGGTGCTTATATTACCAGAGCTTACTCGGGGTGGGGGTGGGTGGGGGGGTGGGAGGGGAAGGGAACAAACGTTATGTAGACTGGCCAAAGTCATTTTTGAAAATGGGTGTTAGGCTATTTAGTAACTTAGGTGCTTTTGAAAAATGTTACCTCTGGGTACCTAATTTTAATAATCCAAGTTTGAGAATTCTTAGATTTTAATTTTTATTAAATTATTTCCTCCATCCTTCCCCTGGCTCTTTTCTGAGCAGCTGCACCATCTGACTACATGAGCTGGGAGCGGATTGGTTCAATTCATATCAAATAATTGTTACATGAACAAGAAGCTGTGTACGCCAATGCTCTATAGTTAGAGGGAGGCAAGCTGTTCCATTCTGCTTTCTCCAATCTCTACAAAGTGAGATTTCATTGGAGGTTGTCTCACCATTCCATCAGTTTCCTTTGCTTCCATTTTTCCTAGGGGAAAAGTCATTAACGCAGAAGCTTTAGTTATACTATCATGACAGAGTTAGAGTAATAAGTGAGCATCACACTGACCAGAAAAAGTGATCACATTGAAAAGAATTTCATTTGTTTTAGAAGGAAGTGTATTGTTTTCTTTGCTCTTTAGTTTTGTTCTGAAAATGTGTGAACTATAAAATTTTAATATGCAGCTGCAGAACTAGAATTCACATACAAAGACACTTACACTTACGTTAAGGTCTGGCTGGCTTACACCTACAAGGGAGATGTATCATAGGTTGAAATGCCATTCCTAACTTACACCCTTGTGCCTAACATTATGCACCCCACATGGCCCTGATTTTTCTCTCAAGATCCATGTGTGGGGGAGGATCTTCCAGCAGGTAGAGCTATCCCTGCTTATGATGAAATTGGGGTTATACATTTCTGTAGCACGGCTCCCCAATCTTCAGATCTCACAGACAACTTTTCATAAGTTTGAGGATTTGCAAAGCGGGAGGGGGCAGGCCAAGGATGGGAATGGAGGAGGAGGAGAGAGAGAGAGAGTTTGTGAGAGAGAGAGAGAGAGATGTTGAGAAACAGATTAACTAGGTGCATCATCCTTCAAATAGCCTCATAAGAAATATTCATGCTGGGATGTGGGTAAGGTTCAATAAGAGCCTATGTAAAGGCTTTGGGAATCTCAAGGGATCCATAGTGGGTGGCTGAAGCTTCTGCTTAATCTATTTGAGGGCAAAACTTGCCCTTTGATGGAATGATCTGTCCTTTACCACCCCCTCCTCTATTAATCCCCACTTCCACAAGTTTTTCTTCTCGGTAGGGTGCGGGGGATCTGACCTATATGGTATGTAAGAGCACAGTTCTCAGTTACCTGGTAGAAGGCCATATTCTCTGTACTACCTCAGCATAACTGAAGTAGGGAAGGATGGTGATTCAGCCTCTCTCTGAATTTCCTGGCTTTAGTGAGATTAGACATTTTGCATTTCCTTCCTCCTTCTTCTCGGTTAACTACATGGGCTTTTTCTGGTTTCAGCTGGAGTAGGACAAACCATTATTCCAGGATGTGCACTACTCCTTTTGCTGAGTGTAATGCCTATTAAAGAGGTCAGATGGGACACTTAGGGAATAAAGCGCTTTGTTTATCCTAGGAAAGTTGTAGCATGGGCAGTGTCTGTATAAATTTCTCCAGTTTACCAAACCAGTGTGTATTAATTCTGAACTGGAGGGAGAGCAGCTGAGGATTAGAAGGTAGGGCAGACTGTCTTCTGTCCTCTTCTTTTTTTGGGGCGTGGTATTTTCTGTGATATAGACTCTTATCCTCTGAGAACTGGTCTGAGACACCAATATGTTTCACAAAGGCTACTCCAATGGTAATGACCTTCAGTTCCTATCTACTGAACTGGATTTGGAGAAAGTTGAACCTACAAATGGTGCTTATAGAGATAGAGATAAAATACTATGGGCCAGAACTTCAGATGGTGCAAGTTGGTGTAACTCTATTGACATTTACACAGATTTACACCACCTGAGGACCTGAGACATACGGGTGTATCCATATCTATCCAGCTACCTTGTTTTCCAAGCTAATGGTTCTTGGTCCTGGGGTGATAGGACCACATTTGCAAAGTGGGCTTCTGTATTTGGTCCTGGAGCACAGTTCTAATTCTCATTATTGACATGGGTCAGTTACATTTTACACACACAAAGTATGCATTGTATAATCTACAGAGGTAGTTAACTGCTATGTAGTCAGATCTATTAGCATACTCCTATTAAATTACCATGGAATCCTGCAATTATACAATAGCCATGTAACTATAATTCTCCCTTGTTTA